TCCATGTAGGCCAGGTAACTTGGAAGATGCTTTGGAACCAGTATTGCTCCTTCTGTGGCTGAAGAATGCTACAGCTAGATCACATTGGACCACTTTTGTTATTCCAGAGTTACCAGCAGCATGTGACACATCTCTTCCACTCTGCCATGAGTCAAGCTTATCTCCAAATCTGAATCAGTGTTGATCCTAATCTTGAGTACCTCTAGCAGTCTGTCTCCATCCCTTCTTGGCTACCTCATAACTTTCTCATGATGCTGCTGATAACAGCTGTCAGTATTTAGGGCTACCAAAATTATATTACAGGCAGGCTGTCCTAAAATGCATTGGAAAACAATCCATAAAAGTCTATTTTCAAAGGCATAACCTCTGAAAAAGGAGCATCACACAATTTTTAAGAGGTATGAGGTGAACACAGGCACTCAGGATCTGGAACCTCTCACAGAAAAGCCATTTGGATAAAGGTGAACTAGGTCATGCACTTCACTTAGCAATATATGGCTGCCCATTTATGAGTGTAGACTTAGTTTTCTAAAGTACCACATTTCTCTTCTGATCAACAGTGAAAGGGATTGATTAAAGTTACTGAACAGAACATATCACACAAATGCACTAAGCTCTGCTGAAGGCAGACTGATTAAAGTATTATGCACGTTGGATCATCCTTATGATTTGTTTTATAAAATAAACACTTGTGACTTTACCCTCTAAATTTCCCCTCTGTTTTTCATTCAGCACAGGCATCACAGTAGCTATACATTTGCTCTTGTTTATAGATATTTTGCTACTATACAGCTAAGCACATCCACTGAATATAAGAATTACTTTGAACAATAGAAACATTTAACTGCTAAAGACTATAAAAATGCCATTTTCATGAAGTGTTGTCTGTCACTCTCTTCAGTGCATAAAAATCAGAATTGGAAAGAACTTTCAAGCCAATGAGCTTCTCTCCTTTATGTCAATTAATCTAGACTTTTGCCCTGGCAAGATTTTTTCTACATTATATTTACTACCATTTTATCCAAAATAAGATAAAGACATCATAAATTACAAAGCTCTAGCACTTAGTCTGCTGGATAATATCTTCAGTCTCCTATTGTCGGGAAGCTTTTCACAGATACTCTGCCAAAATGTCTGTGTTATAAATCATTGCTTAGAATAGCAAATACTAGAAACAGAAACATACCAAGCAAGCTTCTCTCCTTCTTTCACTATTTTTGTTTATAATGCAAATTAATTGAGATCAAACTATTTTGTATACTCTGATTCTTTCATAATCACTTGGGGGTTGTTATGGACCACAGTGTTCCTAGTCAACAGCCTCTAAGACACTCATGAACACTAAAAGTAAAGGGCTTACAGAATCTTGGGACAGCTGCCTTTTCAGGTTGCAAGCACCTTTTATGCTTTGCTCATTACCATCTTCATGTCATGGATACACCTACAGAGCACATATAGCACTCACAGCCTGATGTATAGGACGAGCAGAGTGATGTGATGGACAGGCACTAGCATTTGAGACTGAGTGGTGTGCATTCCTCAATATGTCAGTACATAAGATGCGTAAGGACCACAGTACTCACACCACCACACTGGCCAGGGCATAGGATTGTGATTCAGTGGACCAGGTACGAACTATAGGGTCTGGGACAGGAGATATATGACAAATGTGAGATGGCAGTCAGGAAACTGACTGTCATGCCCAGAACATGCAATCAGACAGATCTGCACATGTGCTTGGTAACGTGGCCTCTGAGTTAGCTCAGTGAAGGCTACCTGCAATTGCAAAGCAAGGCGGCTGCATAGCTTGGAAGAAAACACAGAGAAAATTTTTAAGACAGAAAGGTATCAGTGGGATTTTGGCTACCAGCTCCCATGGGATCAGGATATCACCTGACCAAGATTTCATCCTTCTTGCTCTAAATGCAATCCACTGAAAGACGCTGCTGTTTCATCCCCTTCAGCTTTTAAATTATCCCATTCCCTTTAGTTATTTCACTTATTCAATTCTTCACTTAGGTTGTGCACACATGGGTGTGCTTGATAGATTCTCATAATGATCCTCTTATGCACACTGCCCCTGTCACCACAGCAGGAATACCAAACAGATAAACATAAAAATGAGCAAGCAGATACAGATGCAAACACTGGCAAATTACTTGAGTGAGAAATTCCCATGCCAAAACTCTTTCCAAGGTGGAATGGACCTTGACACTTATTAGTTAATCTTACACGTATTTGTCTCATATTAGCCTATGCAGCTATTTCTGCAGATACCTTGGGTTTCACTGCATGTGTTTAGTCTTGTTGATAAATTCTTAGCCTGATAATCATCCTTCCCCCTTGCTGCTAGCTTTTCTCTATCAACATCAGCAGCACATATATCAGATTTCGTTATTTCACGCTAAAAACTAACAAGCCCGGGACTTTAAAAGGCCATTTGATTTTGCTTATGATCCTAGCATCCAAATACTCTATTGAAAACCTCAGTGTGCAGGAACTTCTTACTGATCCAAACTGAAATGGGGTGGGGTGCAGGGTGAGAACTGAGGAAAGAATATTTAGCAGAAAAATTAAAGTTTGAAAACTGCAAAAAACTGATTTGGGAATTACAGGGAAGTTTATTTCTTACTGTTCCATTTAAAATCTTTGGTTTTTACTGATAAAAAACGGAAAAGGAAATTCCATAACAGAAGAGTGGATGACGATGATTCTATAGACAGCCAAATTGGTTTTGGTAAAAAAATAAAGCATATTGTTGTATTTTGTTATCCATTTGAACTGTACTACAACGATACACAGATTATTCCTTTTCCTGTCCTGTCATCCCTGCACTATGGCCACAATGGCACTTACTCAAAAAGCTAAATTTTACTAGAGCCATTTCAAAACATGAATGAACTTCAGAGCTTTCCTTTACCTGAAAACACAGTGTGGCCCAAATTGCTACTGCTCTGAACTTTCTCTGTCAGATCCTCAGCACACAGATGGCCTGAGGAATAAGAGAGTGAATCAAAATGTTAATCCAACCACTCTCAGAGAGGGCTCCCTGTCACACGTGCATCCAAACTTCACATATTTGGCCTAGCTTTACTCTTTGCTAAGCTGCTAAAACATCAAGTTTTAACTCTGTTGAAGTAGCAAAAGAGAGCTATCAAATGGAAGGCAGGGACCAATGGAAAGCTGAGGCTTGGAAGGAGACCTTCTGATGGATATTGTTTACAGCTTTCAGTGCAGTTTGGTTTCATCTCACTGGAGCAGGAAACAACCTCTGAGACAAGTATCTCCTCACTGCTGTCCTGGCGACATGATGACAGCACCAGAGCACTGAACAGAGGCCCAGGGAAAGGCAACTCTAAAGGAGAAGGCTCATCATAACACACAATCTGTAATTACACCACTTTGGAAGATGGCAAATTTTTATGTTTGAGTAAAATGCATAATCAATAATCAACAGGTCTTTTCAACTCATATCTCTCCACTCACACTGTGCTATTGAATAACAATAATGTTCCACTGCAACAGCTCCAGGTCCCTTGGTTTTCATTGTCACTCTGAAATGCAGTATATTAACATAAATTCGTCTGTTTATCTCATTTTTCTGAGGGTGAATGTATTTGCAGCTTTTCCTCAATATGAAATAAACTCTACTTATGTTCGGTACTCAGGTTTCATATACAGGGTCTTCCCAAGTGTGACATCTTGGAACATTTACACATGTCAAAATAGCAAAAATAGGGCAAAAATTCTTATGAGCACTTGTCCTTTTTTGTATGAGATTTATCATTCTCATAAACCCAGGATTATTTCAAAGCTAGGAAATTTAAACCTTCCTTTTAGTTAGTACAAACTCATTTATTTTCTGATTTTCCAAAGTAGATAATACCTTTTATTTAATCAATAAAAGACTCAAATATTTAAAGCACAGCTAACATTGACTGCCATCAAGTGTCTGATGAACACAAACTTCTTGATTAAATCCTGGATTCAGTACTTCATATTAGAGAGCACCTTTTGAGATTCACATTTTGAATTCAATATATTCATTTCTGCAGTGCTCCAGGCACAAAAATGTCTGTAAAACTGAATATTTAACTTTCATATCACTCCTGCTTTTTTGGAACTTTAATATTTTTATCATTAATATCACACCAAATAGAAATTAAGACACACAGTAAAGTGTTCAAAGTGGTCGCACATAATCTTTGTTTAATATAAAATAGAACCAATTGAAGCATATGTAACCTACGTGCATAAAAGGAATACCATAAAAAAGATGCCCAAGTAACATACATGTTCAAATAAATGCAAACCAGTTCTCATTTATTTGGCAATTTTCTGTCAGGAACATATATTCCCTGGGGTTTCTCAATTTTTATGCATTGGAACTCAGAGTTCAGGATGAGAAATTCTGAGTTGGTGGTTCCCAGTTGTTCATCTATCATCTTTTTCATTCCACCACTTTAGGAAATGGATGGACTTAGTGCATGAGCAATACGTTACCTAGAAATTCTACAGAAAATCTTGTTTTGATTGCTAGGGAAGAAGCTTTTATAGTTCATACAGCTATTCTGAGCGGTTATGTAGCAATTTCCACCTGCAGGTCACCATAGAGGTTGACAGCTGATGGGTATCAATTTTCTCTATCCCAGTTTCCTTGTGATTGATTGCTCCATGCAGAAACTCCCTCAACACTCAGTGCAATCACAGTTCAATACCTGGGGCAGAAGCTTCCCTTCGAGAAATGCCTCCTTCCCGTGCTGAGCAGTTCATGTGTCAGCAGCAAGAGGTGAGCCCCAGAGATCAGCACTCACAGAGCTCCCCTTGTCAGGTCCTCAGTGCTCTGAACCAAGACCTCAGCAAGGTCCCCAGCCCTTATCTGTGTTGCCTGCCTGACTACCCCAGGTTTTATGAACTTTTTTTTTTTTTACTTTTTCTGTTTAATGTATACATACACATAGTGCACATGAAATAAAAATTGCTCATCTGGGTGCCTCTGCTCTCATCATTCATAACTTGAATAACATTAGTGTCAAGTTTGGTTTTTGTGAGCATTTATCCACATAAGAAGCTCACTAGCAATGAAAACATAAGAACAGAATAGCAAATAAAAGGCTGAATCAGATTATTTTTGTTGTAATGACCCCATGTAGTGGATTGAGTGGCCCAGCTTCCTTTACAGAGCCTGTTGTCATACTATCAACCATTTTCTTGCTACATTTGCAGTGCAGCTCCACCAAGGGAGTATTATCCCAGTCTGCTCCCATGGTCCCTTCCATCTCATGCTTGAAAGCTTTAAGGCTGTAATGCTATATTAATCTGTGTTACAAAATGTCACTGGTTGCAGAGTACTGGTAATCCCACCTACCCCAGTAGAGCAAGGTGAAAGATTCCAGCGTGATCTGGGCTCTCAGTATGGCCTCTTGTACAATGACTAAATAAAAGCCGTACATATTATCTTGTCTCCAGGCTGAAACAAAAATCTAATGCATCAAGAGAAATTACATCTTTTTTTTCTTTAAAGGTGCGCATTCACTCTGTTAATTGAAGAGCAGACACTGGAAATAATCTGGTAATTGGTTCTTGCTGTAAATGATTTATTGGGCATTGTAATAAACATAACAGCTCTTTCTGCTTTCAGTCCACAGCTTTTCTTACCTAGCTGCTACTGCTAAGCTAATTGTCCTTGCTTGCAAATGTATTTGTATTGTACAAGCCTTTCCATTAATGCTCTGAGATTAAATGTCATAAAATTCAATGTTTCGGTGACACTTGAAAATGTAGTACCTGAATTACAGCAGTGGCTGCAATGGCGCACCTGTAAATCTGATACCTTGCCCTGAAGACAGAGTCTGAAAGTTTTTATTGATCTTAAAAGTTTCCATGTGGTCTGAACTTAGTGTTACGATCACTGTAGCAAATTCAGCAAAGAATTTCACTCCAAATCACTTCACCATCTACAGCTAGTACCAGAAAAAGACCACAGTATATATGGTTACCTAGCCCAAGGTGAACCATAGTGCAGATACGAATGCACCCAGGTACCAGCTTTCATTTCTTGAATTGCTGCTCTTTAACTGAGCTACTTTGTACCCTCTTAAGAAAACAGAGGAGAGATGAAACAGCGTCGTATCACCAGGATGCATTTAGAAACTATCTCTGCGTCTGGAAAAATCCAGTGTTATCTGTCAAATTAAGCATGGCTCTTTCAAGGAGACAGTCGACTCCCAGCTGCTGGAGAAATGGAACACTTATATAGGAGATGAAAGAATGGTGAAAATATGTTGACTGCATTACCCAGGACCTTTTGCATTCATCTTTTCATGTGTTTTCATAAGGTCCTAGTAAACTATTATGAACTGGGGCACAGCGTGAAATCAGGAGCCCACCCAGCCCAGACCACAGTACCTCAGAGCAAAATATGGAAGAGGAGACTGAGTCTCCTCTGGCCGATATTCCTTCCAATACCTTGGTATGCAACCAGGTTGTTTTATTGAGGGTTATGATTACCATCTGCAACAGAAGTCATAGTGCCCATCATAAACTGAAGGACCCGAGCCCTCAGTGGGGACTCAGAGGCTGGCTAAACATTCTCCCCTACATGGTGCCTCCCTGAAGTAGCTCCCTTGCTCACTGCCTCTCTTGCTCACCGCCTGTCCAAGACTCTCCAGCCATTGTTTTCCAGCTGCTCTGACACTTTTTTGTTGTGCTCTGTTGTTCAGATACAGGAGTGTCTGCTCAGATACAAGTTACTGTTGGAAAGGAAAGAGTAGGAAAGTCACAAATACTATTACGAAACAGTAATTCTGTTAAGAGCAATTGAAACATTCAGTATCACCAACCACAAGCCCCTATCAAACCTCTGCTGGAATATGACCCTGTTTCTCAGCCCAGAAAACAATATTTTTCATCAGCCGAATTAATTCATAGGAAGCATGAATGCACATATGACATTAGGTAGGGAAGCAGATGTATTTGGTGACAGCCTTACAGCTACAAGAATCATATAACATTTTATTTTCAACTGTTGTTCCAATAATTGCTTTCAGATACTGAAAACTGCTGGTTTGCACCAAGAAAATAAATAAATATGGAAGACACGTTACCATATTGCCATTTTCCCCCCTCATTTTTAGAATAGATTTAGAATCATAGAAACATAGAATAGTTACGGTTGGAAAGGACCTTAAGATCATCCAGTTCCAACCCCGCTGCCATGGGCAGGGACACCTCACACTAAACCATATCACCCAAGGCCTCGTCCAACCTGGCCTTGAACACTGCCAGGAACAGAGCATTCACAACCTCCCTGGGCAACCCATTCCAGTGCCTCACCACCCTAACAGGAAAGAATTTCCTCCTTATATCCAATTTGAGGGTTTAGATCAATCACAATGGGAACAAAATCCTTGCGCCCCCCAAAAGCTACAGATGTAGCAGCAGCATTCAAAGTCACATATACACCCTGAGTGAACAAAATACATTACCCTGACACTTGAGTTAATGCTAATAAAGACTCGCCCTTTCAAGACCCTTGATAATCCCAAAAGAGGTACTAACTTTGATCATGTTTCGTGGCCTGAATCACACAGCTCAAATCACCTCCTCTTTCTTCTTCTCTGTCAACTATAAAAAAAACCCAGAACTTGAAGCCATCTATCCCTAATCACACTGATTATAATTCAGTTCCAGACTAGTGAATAAAAAGCAATACAAGAGCTAGAACATGACAGAATGCTGGCCCAGAAAACTACAGATCTATGAAAAATGGCACTGTTCAACAGCTGTCCAGATTTAATTTTAGGATGAACAGCAGAACACATCACCTCTTGTTCTGCCTAGCATTGATTTACTACTTGCAGTACTAATTTAAATCATTTAATTTGCAGAACTTTTAGGTCCATCATCTGTTCCCACAGCTGAGTCAATACTGTGGCTCAGCTCACAGGAGAAATTGATCTGCAGGCCACTCTTTACAAGACAGATTAATTTTTGTCCATTGATTGATTGGCCTCTGTCCGCTACACGTACTTATTTTGGACCATTTAAAGCTCATAAGGTTTTATATTGAGATTTATTGATTTCGCAGGGTAATAAAATGATGAATGGGTGTTCAGCCAAGCACAGAGAACTGATGCAAGCTTGAGGGGAGAGACCCAAACAACCCCCACAGAGTGGAAAGTGAAGAGTTGCAATGCCCCCTCTGTTTCTGTTCAGATTTTCCCCAGGTGTTGGTGGTTCACTCTTCCAACCCACGCAGACTAAAGCAATACTTAGGGCAACGTGAGGCTCTTTTACCAGGTCTGTGCCTCCGGGTGTGCTCTGTTGCCTCCCAGCCTAATGTTCAGATAAAGATCTCCTGGTTTAAACACAGCTGGAAGGGCCAGCCTGTCCCTAGCTCCATCATCGAGGATGACAATAGACACACTTTTTACAGTCTTTGCTTCTGTCTCTCTTATCATTTAGTGGGACGTATTCAAGGTTTTGATCACTCTTTATGATCACACAAAATGCTTTAAAATCACACATCCTTCCTGGACATCAACTAAGTATTATCATGATTGGGATATGATGTCATATACAAATGCAACACACAAAGGCTACAAAGATTACAAAAATAACATGTTTTCCTGATAAAATATCATGTCTTCAAAAGCATTTTCATGTGAAGAAATTAAGACCTTTGCTGATGTTTGAGAAATTTTTATATTCATTATCTCTTATATTTTCCAGTTGACTGAAGAACTAATCTCACCATCCATTTTTGTGTAGTCAGCCCCATTACAACACAGTGGGAAACACAATCCTGATCTTTTACTCAGTCTTTTTTCCAGGTAGGGTTTAAGGTGTTAACAAAACCTCTAGTATATATAGCACTGCTAGTCACTGCAGGATACCAGCTGAGACTACCTTCCTTCTGCAACTGCAGTTCAGTTTGCCAGTATGGCTGAAAGACTGCTTTCCAGAGGGGGAACTCTGTCTGGATCTTGTATCTCTTATAAGTGTTGTATTCCATGTGCTCCAGCTTACAATCTTGAGATGTGTGAATTATGTCCAGTCTGGTCTTCGTGGCTTGGCAGTATTGTGTCTCATAAACTGAAATATGCAGCAACAATTATTCTCTCTATAGCATTCCACAGTATTTTATATTAAAAATCTGGAAGCCTGAAAATTAGCAGCATCACAATTAAATAATAAACATATGAAGGTGGAATCAGCTGGCACCTGGGTACATGAAGTACATCAACCACAGCAAAATGATCCAGCTCACATTCCATTGGAATCTGCAGAATTCTTTTAGTTCAAGGGACACAAACCCAAACCTCTTTCTTTCTGATGGTTTTAGTGTCAGGATTTCTTTTCAGACACTCTTTCAAGTACTTTGTATGCTCCCCACAGAAATCCCCCTGGAAGGAGATTTCTCTCTATATATAGTTCTTATAAGCATGGCTGACTCATGCAGGTCTCCACAACACGCTGCTTCAGTTTTATCTTGTTGCTATACCATATGTTTTTTGAACTACCACTTCAGCCCACTCCAAATCCTATCAAATGGCTCCAAAGGAGATAAATGGCCAAGGAGGAAAGCACTTCTGTTCTGAGCTACACTTTGTAGATGAGCAGTAACTCTTTTGATTTCATTGCAATTCCTCTGATATCTACATCAGGATATCTATCTGGCTCTTCATTTTCCTCTTCCATTAGAAACATATGCATATATTTTGCATTTAGAGATTTTGTCATGCTGAAAAACAAATCTCCCACTCAACATCATGCTGCTTGGAATGCATTTGAAATTAAACTTATTAACTGTGTATCTTTAGACTGTAGCTGTTCCACTTAGACAATCTTTACAACTCCAACTGAGCTATTAATTGATATTATTGCCCTCAAACTATCAGCTTTTTGTAGTCACAAATACAAAGGAAAAATACAAAAGATCCAGAATTAATTAATAATAGCAGCAGGCTTTCATTTTCAGCCTAGCACTTGTAACATTTTAGGATAACTGTACTATACTGGCTGAGTGTCCCAAGAACATATGCGCTTATTTAGTATATTAACGATTACATTCTCTTTGTGTGCTCTGAAATTAGAATACTTTCTCAAACAAAGGCTCTACAGTTGAGTATTAACAGGACTCCTGGGTCTGCCTCAGAACCTGCAGTTTGAATGTCTTAAACCCTGCCAAAATGTTTCTTAGCCTCTTCCTATAAGAACAAACAAACCACCAAGTATCACGTCATGTGCAGCATCAGCATCATGATACCCATTTATGAGCAAGTACAAATAAATTTTCTGTTCTAATTTATCAGGTTTCTTTTTACCTGTCTTGCTTGTTTGCTGGTTGCATGCATAGGAACGTGTGTACTTTACAAACATTTCACAGGCTGTGTTTTCATGTCATGCAGAAACACAGTCACAACCAAAAGGCACTGAAGCCTCAGTGTTATTATGCTGTGAGCCAGCTACAAAGTACAGACCTGGAAGTCCAGGAGTTCCACTGTTGCAGTGCCACTATGCAGACCCCCCATTTAGATGTATGTGGGAAGGGAGCAGGAAGAGTTGAAGGCAGCTGCTGCTTTTTTCAGCACTTCAGAGGGACTTCTGAATCCTACCGTATTTTATGCTTAGTCCTGCTTAGTTCTTTGCTCTTGAGGAAGCCAGAAGGTAGAGCTGGAACCCAGATTAGCCCAGCAGGTTGACCTGCTGGCTCTTGCCACTGCTCACTCCAGAGGAATTCTTGCCCAGGGTAGCAGCCCAGCATTCCTGCCCCAGACAGGCTGTGACATACACAGGTGTCCACTCTCCCTTTGGTGTGCTTGGGTATCTGGTGTCAAGCAGGAACAGCTTTTGTCCTGACACTATACTAATGCATTTACCCAGGTCTTTCCTGCTCTCTTCCAGATCTGACAGCCTCTAGCTAGGTGGGGGGGAAGCTTTAGTTACACCTTTTATGATTCACACCTAATTTAGGTGCAATTAAAACATCTAAAGTCATGAGAAGAATAAGACATATACCTTCCAAGGAAGGAAAAAGAGTGGTATCTAAACTATACATTTCTAACAGGTAATCTGCTTCTCACCAGGGTGCTTGTCAAGTTTGAGAAACTGATACACACGTAACAGACCTGAAGCATCAGCCTGGCTCAAGGTCACGCTGCAAGAACCTTCATCCTTCAACAAATCAAATGGTGAAGATCTACCACCAGCAGGAAAACCCCCCTTTACAGGCTGGCAGCCAAAGGAGAGAATCTGGTGTTTCCACTGCAAAGCATGAGGGAGCACAGAACTCTGTAGGAACTATCCCTTTTGGCACAGGGAAAAAGGCACTGGCCCTGTCAGAATCTTTGATGTAAGAAAGTCACAGGAGAGAGTCATTTAACCCTTCCTCTTTATGAAACAGCAGTAAAAGAAAAGAATGGGGGATTTAGGGAAAACCAAGAAGGAGGTATATAGTAGATATGGGTCATAAAAGAAGCTCCAAGATGGTTAAGACTTCCTTATTGTATATATGTGCTTTTAAATTAAGTTCATAGACTATATTATACATATTTTAGCATATAGACTCTAGTTGTGCCCCAGGGTGTGTACAAATAGCTCAGTATCGTGCTGGGAACTGCCTGATGAAAACGGAGCAAAAGCAATATTGTGGTTCCCACCACAAGGCTCACAGAAAGCTATGATCTTCCATCCTGGCTATGCCCTTTGGCCTCTCCAGTCCAGGAGGATATTTAATTATAGCCGGATATTTTAAGTTCAGGAGAGAGGAAGGAGGGAGAAGCAAACAATTTTAAAGATAAAACAATACCCTTTTGTTCATTTTTTTCTTTTATATAGGAATTATATTGCCCTGCTTTTATTTGCTCTAATTTAATGTGACATCTGTATTGAAAACAAACAAGCAAAAAAGAATCTCTATTTACTACCAAACACTGAGAAAATAGAAAGAAAACAGCGCTGATTAAAAAAAGGCAGTGACTAATAATCCCTAAAAATACTGTCACAGATCAGGTAGTTGCCTGGGACTCAGAGATCCTGTGTTTTGCATCTACTCATACCACTTTTTTGCCACTGGGACTTCTGGAAGTTGCAGTAGTATCACCAGCCTATTTCCTGAACTGCTTGGAGACCATTGGATGAAAAGCAGAAAGAGGAGGAATATAATTAAATGGGGTGGTCTATCATTTTTCTTGTTCCCTTCCCCAGCTTCCACAACAATTTGATTTGGCAATAGGCAAATAGAGAGGATTATTCACCCTAAATCTCTAAGACAGAATAAATCATCAGCTGCAAGCCATATGATAAACCATGTCCCCTAGAACAAGAATTACCCTTGAGACACATGAACATTTCTGGTTGGAAATCCACTGCACACAGCCCGTTTCCCAGCAGGTTGGGTTGCATCAGGTCACTTAAGGCAGCAATTACTAGCATACAGTATGCAGAGAGCATCCTGGGAGAGCCTTCAGGCTTGCTCATGCCATGGGAAATAATGTATTGATATTGAGGTTGACAGAAAACACCGTATCATCTGTGGTGTGCTGTGGATTAGGCGCCGCTGATCACTGGTATAGAATGAGTGCGGTGGGAAGGGCAAAACAAATGCTTTCCATGGAAAGCTCTCTTATTCCATGTCAAAGTGAAGAGCACATGAGTCCATGCTACTCCTTTGCATCAGTCCCAAAATATCTGTGCTACACACATGCATATGTAGAAACACCTGCAACGGGGATGGAGATTTCCTTTTGGCAGCGTCTGCAGTTCAGATTCAACGTTTTCATTTGAAAACCAGTAAAACTGCTATTAAAGGAAATGTTTGTGCTATAGTATGGCCACAAGTGGAAAGTATGCAGAACAGTGCACTGCTTTTTTCTTTTCTTTTTTTTTTTCCTTTTTTTCTAATGCAATCACTGCAGTGATGTAATTGGCTGTTTGAACCCTTCCTTAATCACTTCAGTAATATCCTACAGCAGAAGTCATCCTGCTGAAATTCACAGAACTGTCCGTGGATTTGGATACTGCTTAATAAATAGCCTTAATAAATGACCTGAAGTCAGATAACTGTCCAAGTGGCAGAAATGTTTTCCCTGGGCACAAACCTGTAGCACTGGGGAGTTCAGGCTGGGAATGTAACAGAAACTATCACAAGCCTTGTTATATAGCTGCTATTGCAGAATCATGAAACTATGTATTAAAAATTTGTCTGGATGACTTTATTCTACTTTCACCTCTCCTATGAATGCATCAGAAGCAGATACAATAAACAAGGAGGAATATTTATCACATTCACTCCTTTAACAAGATCGGAATATTGGCGTTTTCTAATAAAATTATGACGTAAATGTGATTAAATCCCAAGATCTAAAATGATGGAAACAGCACAGAAATTCAAAGCTATGTTATTAATGAGTAATATTTGCACAGTGCTGGACCAGATAAGATAGGGAGTATGTAAGGTCTCAGAGCTTAAATCTGTATTTTACCCAGAATTAATTTCCTCTAGCCACAGTCTCTGCAGCCACATGGCTATTTCTCTGCAGTTAAGAAACTTTGTCAATCTGCAAATGTCTCTTGTATTGGAAGAGTGAAAACGAGCAAATTTCATACTAATGGCATAGTAAGGGACTGAAAAAACTGTAGATCAGGCTTTATACTGTCACAGGTATTACCAGGAGAGCATCAAAAGTTGGGCTGAATAAAAGTTACAATTAAGGAAAGAGGAGAACCAAAATACACTGTCATTGCACTTGAAAGTACCTTCACTGATGCAGCATTCAAAGATATTTACAGGATTGTAGGGTGGCAGCTAAATTTTGGAGATAGAGTATTCTGTGATACTATGATACTCTATGAAGATAGAGTGCTCTATTCTATGAAATAGGAGCAGAATAGAGCTGCTTTTTTAGGATTTAAAAAAAATCCTGTATTTCAGGGGTTTTCAGGTAAAAAGAGGAATACAGTCGAACTAATCACTAGATTGGAATTCATTTCTCATTGAAATCTAGTATGTGTAGCTTATCAATCAATCTCTAAAACCAACATGTAACAGTGACTAAATATACTTGATCATTCTGGGAAGATAGCACAAAAGCATATACTAGAATTGTTTTTTCAGACACACAGGTAATGAACATTTCATGCCACCTTCTGATAAGGATTTTTCTGACATGGTTTTTTAAACATATAGCCTACAGGACTACAACTGAACTCAAAATCTAAAGGAAGGATAAATTCTTGGGTGTCTTTAGCTCTGCCAGTAACAGCTAGTGTATCTCTACACTGGAAGCCCAGTCATCTGGTCCAGATTTGGAAGCTAATAAACAGATATTAACATCTGAGTTAGTTATCTAGACTCCCTTCAGTATTGGGGAGGAGAAAGTGGCATTCCTAAAGGAAAATTCATTCAATTTCAGACTTCTACTTTAGAGGGAGAGGAATCATCCCATAAAGGTGTTGCTTTGCAGGCAGGATAACCTGGACAAAGCACTCAGAACTGATGTATACATGACAGATATCTTAAGTTAGAGGAGATGAATTCCACCATAAACATCTATACCCAGCATCTCCCTAAGTACAGGAGGCTCATGATTAATTCTTCTTGAGGGGAACATTTACAGCTGGCAAGGAGTCCAACACTCAGTGTTTATGCACAGCTATTACTCTTCCAGAGAGAGAAAAGTAAGCAGGTCAAAGATCAGCTATGTGCATTACACATTTCACTGTACTGTGCTATTCCTATCTCACATTTCACAAAACTGCTTTTGAGGTCTTCTGGGACTACAGTCTTCATCCGGGGCTGAAAGGCTGTTCAATAAGACAGGAGACATCTGTGATTTTGAGCAAATATATGCTTTGGCTCAGAGGCACCAGAGTTCTGGGATACTGACAAGCAGCACATCATGGCCTTCTGAATCTGGCAGGTGTCACTCACAAAGGAAGCTAAAAGAAATGCGGACAGGCAAGTTCACAGGTGTAGCAGAGTTGCCTCTTGGGTTCATCTTATAGGAGGTGACAGACAGTGAAGTGTAGCTTAAGAATAGAGCAGTCTCCTTTGGGAAAAGCCTTCTGAGAGAGCTTTCATCAACAGAAAGCATGACTCTTCCCTACATTTCAATCTCACTGCTTATTATTCTGTGGAACTTTCTTGCCAAAAATAACCACAAAAGGGTCAGAAGCTAAGCCAAAGGTCCATCTAGGCACAGCTAGCATTTACTTGTTCACAAAGTTTTTGAAAACATGCACACTACCAGCCGGGCTCTGACAGCAGAGCTTCAGCATATGGAAAAGAAAATCCACTCTTTCAAATTAAAAATAAACACAGCATGTTCCGGTGCTTCATTTAACTGCAGGCATTTCTGATTCTTCCTTTCACATTCTGTAAACCAATATCTTAAATTAGAATAAGGGTGACAGACAAATCAGGCTGGAGGAAAGGAAGGTCCCAAATCTCAGCCTCAACTTTGCCTCACATAGTTTCACAAAGCAGGCAGCAGCCAGTGCTCTTCTTGTGTGTAAATACGGGATATAGGCAGCACTTAACTGACTATAAAGTATCCCTGCAGTCATGTGGCCAGTTTCCTGCACTGTGAGGAGAGAGCTTGTACTGCTCTAGAAAGTCCTGATAAAATAATGGATGTTCCCTTTGCTTCTTCCCAATAAAGACCTACTTTGGGAACACGGCTGAACACGTGGGATCTTCATAAACCTCCCCTAAAGTACAAGGGATGAGTATGGTACAAGCCCTGTGTTACATTCTTTATCACAACACACTCTTCCAGCAGAAAAAAAAAGCAATATAGGAAGGCAGTAGAAAACACTAAAGCTGTTGATTTTGAAACAATCTGTACGGAGAAGAACACTTTTCTCATGTGTTGCAGTCTGTTTCTACCAGAATGGTTATTTTAGCAAAGAATGCACTTAGTGAGCTGGACCAGGAACTCATGGCAGATGACAGACGAGAAGCTAAAAGCCATGACTCTGTGCTGACCACAATCTCCACTAACTGAAAGTAGCACATTCACAGGGAGCAGACGGGCTTTCCTGTGTGAGCCTCCTGCAACCAGTTTTCCCCCCAAACGCTGCACAAGTTGTGCTCTGAAGCACTATGCAAACGTGGAGTGAAACACCACAGCCAAGAAGAGAGGCTATTCACTTTGTTGTACAACAAAGAACACGATCTATTTACATTTTATTTCTTCTTACTGCTTGGAAGATGAAAGCGAGTTTTCTGATAGCAAAGCTTTGAGTAGTGACATTTGTTACTTAATGAAGTCTGGAACAGCAAGCATCACTGCTCATCGTGAAACTACAGAGTAAGACAGTTTTGAGATGCAAAAATCAGTTCAAAGTATTAGTCAGATTTGAGCAGCAAAAGTAAAATGAAAAAAAGAAATGATACTTTCTGAAACACTATATA